TCTGTGTATTAGCACAAGCATAGTGAAAAAAATACACAGATAGACTGTAGTAAAAATGAAGGAAAGGAATAAAACATATAGAAGAAAGATGGAGACCCCAATCTGGAAGGAAGCATATCCAGAGACCTGAAGGAAACTGAGAATACGTCACACTATAGACTATGAATTCAATAAAATAAGAGTCTTTAGAGGCAAATTAATATGCTAGGATGAGGTTGAAAGAGGTATTATAAAGCTCAGTCAATACATGTAGACATTACGTTACATGTGCAGTGGCCGAAAATTGGCTTATTGACCTGAAGAAAAGGCTTTGAGATCATCAGAGTGAATGTGTAGGGAAAAACTTGAGAGACTGAAGATTTTGGAGAAAAGGTGATGATAGATACGGATACAAAGACAAAACAGCCCAAGGTAAGAAGGATGGTTGTCTAAGTCAATGGCCCAAAAATGGATCAGAAAAGTATTTAGAGATGTAATAGAAGAAAATTTTCCTGATGTGCGGGAAGAACTGAATTTAAAGATCCAAAGGGCACACCGTGCACACCAGGAAAAGTGGATGGACCTGGGCACATCCTAGTTAAAGTGTTCGACTTAAAGCTTAAAGAAGGGGACAGGGTATAGCTCAGTGGTAGAGCGTGTGCCTGGAGTGCATGAGGTCCTGGGTTCAATCCCTAGTACCTCCGTTAAAAAAACAAAAGCTTAAAGAATTGTGCAGGAGAGGCAGGAAGATCAAAAACACACACACTTAAGCCTGCGTCAGACTTTGGAGAAACATCTAAAGCCAGAGAATAGGGGAACAGTACCATTTAGAGAAAGATGAAAATATGAACCAGAATATTGTGTCCAGCAAGCTGACACCCAGGCACGAAGGCAACAGGATAATTCCCTAAACACAAATGAACTCAGGAGCCTTCCTCCAAAAAGGAAGTTAATGAAACTTAGCCAACTAAGGTAGACCTAAAGACAGAGAGCCAGGATTGAGGAAGCCATGATAAAGGTCTGTTGTTGAGGTTTCTGTCCACTTTATATCCAGACTAAGACCTGATAGTTATGACTGCAGCCCAGATCGCAAATGTTAAAACCTTAACAAAGCAAAAATAATAATAAAATCTGCAAAAACAGGAGGTGAAAGGTAGGTGAAAGTAAGTTTTAATTTTTTATTTTTCTTGGTAGAGAGCTAGTACTGTGCAAAACTGAAACGTGTAGTTTAATTAAAAGGGTGAAAACCTGCAAAAATACCTTTCACTATCCTTTTCTTAACCTTAGAGAGATCCTTAAGGAATTAATATATTGTGGAGGAAACACAGTTATTTGAAAGTTAGTAATTCCTTTGGTTCTACTTCAGTTTCTTCTGTTAAGTTCAGATAAAACTGAGCCTTAATTTTTTTTTTATTGAAGTACAGTCGGTTTAAAATGTTGTATTAATTTTTGATGTACAGCATAATGATTCAGTTGTACATACATATATTCCTTTTCATATTCTTTTTCATTATAGGTTTATTAAATGATGTTGAATATAGTTCCCTGTGCTATACAGTAGAACCTTGTTGTTTATTTTACATGTAGTATTTGTATCTGCATATCCTGAACTCCCAGTTTATCCCTTCCCTCCTCTCTGTCTTCCCCTTGGTAACCAAAAGTATTTTTTCTCTGTGAGTCTGTTTCTGTTTTGTAAATAAGTTCATTTGAGTCATTTTTTTTTTTAGATTCCAAATATAAGTGATATAAGTAAGTGATAACATATGATATTTTTCTTTGTCTTTCTAAGGCTTAAACTTATATTTAAAAGCAATACATGGCCCTGGTGTTGTAAATTATTCCCATCATCTGTCTTGCCTTCCTTACGTGTGTAAAAGTTCACAAAAATATAGTAAAAAATAAGGTTTGGGAGAATAACCTGGTTATTTCAGAGTGGTAGGATTTTACATGATTTTTTTTCTCTTTCTTTAAATGACTGTTTTTGCTTAAACTCTGTCATGTAAGTAAGTGAAGTGAGAATGATGAGAAAATCACGGACAATCCCAACTAGGAATCTGCAGCCTGCTGAGAAAGACAGGGCATTCCCACATAGTCACGTGCTAAAATCAGTCCACCGTGGAGGTGGTGTCGGACGGGAGATGCCCATCTAGCCTGCAGCAGCCGCGGGCATTCCCCGGAGGAGGCAGGCACTTGTGCAGGTGGAGGGAGGAAAGGCAGGGCAGGGGACGGGAGCAGTAAGGGAATCTTCTGACGAGAAGAAGCTCAGGACGGGGAGTAGGGGGAGTCGGCGTCCTGCCAGGGGGCCAGGGCCCTCGCGTGCCAAGTCCAAGTTTGGCCTTTATTCCCTGCATCTCAGTTGGGAACAGAATGAAGTAAGTGAGCGATAAGCAACAGGAAAGGATGGTCGCCTGCTGAGGAGTTTTGGGATCGAATTTTTAAAGGCACATTGGTTCACACAGAAAGTCTTTTTGGAGTTCTTGGCCTGAGGGTGGCCAGCCTAGGGGCCCTGCTGCAAATCATTGAGAGCTATTGAAGGTTCCTGAACTTGGGCGGCTGGGGAGAGGGTGGATAACAAATGAGAAGCCACCTGCAGGCTGCGATCTTTTTGCAGGTTGTCATTGAGTGTCTCTCAATTCAGTTTCACCGAGGCGGGCAGAAGGCTTGTTATAAAGAGCTCTTGCACTGGTTTAGTAAGTGCTGGAGTGAACATGTGAATTGTGTCTCTGAAGGGTTAGTCTGCGTGTTTTGGAGGCTGGGCTGGGGAGGGCACACATGGGCAGCAGCCCTCTTGTAACCAGGCTCTTCCTCTGCTGGGGGTGTGATGCAGTCAAGACCGTATCTGGGCGGGAGCCGGCGTAACCCATGGGGAGAGCAGGGGGAGAGACAGAAGAAGAACCAGCAGGACTTCTTAGTGCCTCACTACATAAAGGACAGGACCAGTTTTCTGACAGAGCCGTTTGTAAAAATAACGGTTTTAAGTCTGGGTAACTAGAAGGTGGAGAATTGGGATTTACGTGGTAAGTTCATTTTTATGTCTGTCAAGGCAGTGTTGCTTCGAGGTTAAGAGCATAGACTTTGCAGTCAGACTTCTTGAGTGTGAATCCAGCATGACACTTACTCCTTTACCTTGGCTGAGCTACTCAGCATCGCTGTTCCCTCATCTGAAACATGAGGGTAATGACAGCATGCGGACCTCATAGGGTCAGGGGGGTTGGCTGAGTGAGTGTCAGTGCTGAGAATAGCAGCACCTGCAAGTACCGCCCAGTGGCAAGAACCACAGGAGTGACAGGTCTTGACTGATCATCGCCAACAGAGAGGGGCAGCCGGAATGGGACCCCGGGAGTCCTGGTTGCGGGAGCTGTGGAGCCAGCACCTTCCATGGCGAGGCAGGCCTGGTGTCCTAGACTCGGGAGTTGTCCCCGTGGTGGTTAGAAGGGGGGGTGGGGTGATGGGCATTCTCCAACACGTGTACAGAGATCAGGATTGCAGACGGCTTGATGGGGCACATACAGCAGAGGGCCGGCCAGCTCGCCGAGCCCCGGAGGCAGAAGTCAAGCCATGCATTTGATGGAGGAGGACATGAGGTCATGAGTGGAAACTTCCATGGTCCACTGCAGTGAGATAGAAGCTGAAGCTGAGATGGGCAGGCCTGTTGGCCCCACAGCCCTGTGTCCTGGAGGAGAGGTGGGCGCTCATCGCTCCAGGCCCCTCGGTCTGCTGGCAGTCAGATGGTGCCCTGCCGGCCGCACGTGGGGTGTGGGGCCCCCATCTCAGACTCTGCCGCCAGCCCCAGCTCTCCCCCAGCTCCTGTGCCAGACTTGCCCCGTCCGCATGTGCCCTTGGCTGTGGCCCTGCTCTCACTCGGGGCATCCTCTCCCCGGTGTGTCCTCACAATCAGGTCTCCGGGAGCACGAGCCGCGTCTTTATCTCGGTCTGCAGAGCCCAGACACTTCCTTGACACGGTCCCAAGGGTTGTGTAAGTTCCTCCCTACCTTCCTGATCTGTGAGCCTGGGCAGGACAGACATCTGGCCTGAGTGGGGGCTGCCGGCGTGGCAGTGGGGATGCAAGGGGTCCAAGGATGCAGCGGGTCTGGGGGACTCGGGCTGTGCTGGGTGGTCCTCGGCTCCTCGCAGTGACCGGAGTGGGTTTTCTGGTTGCGGCCTGGTCAGTCATTCCTTTGCTGTCTCTGTGACTCACTCTCAGAGTTCCGTAGAACTCTTCCTTAAAACCCCCTGAGTGTACTTTCCATTTCATTGTTCATTTGGAGAAAATCATTCTCAATAAACACATTCCCAAGTGCAGGGCTCAGTGTTTGTTTTTCTTGTACATTCTTGGGGCCTAACTTTGCAGCTAAGAAAATTGTATAAATCTGTCTGTAGCACATGGGGAACATTCTTCTAGATTTATTGGCAAAGGAGGTTGGAACCCACATTTGGGAGCCACAAACTAAATTTTAATCCCAGCACTGGCTGTTTATTTTCTTTTAAGCAGATCTTTTTTCTTTTTTCTTTTTCCCTTAGAAAAGGAATTCATGATTATTATGAAAGCATAAAGGAAGGAGGGAAAGATCTGTCCAAAATGGACTCCTTTTTGCATTCTTCCTGTGTTCTCTTCCTTCTCTGAGCAGGTGTTTAAAAACTCAGGGTCCTTTTTATTGTCTCTGTGTAGTTTTGTTATAATGTCATACTTCTGAATTTTCTCATGTTAGAAATTCACGGGGAACTTTGTTTTTGGTGGTTACATAATGTTCCATCATTTAGCTGTGCCCATAATCCAGACCGCTCTCCTGCAGTTGGACTTTAAAGTCATTTTGCAACTTTGACTTTTCGTAAATAACACTATGATGAGCTGTTTTGTTGTTAAGTCTTGCCTGAATACCTGGTACATCCTTCCCCTGGACTTCCCGAAATAGAATTAAAGAGGATCAGCTGGGAAGGCCCCTCGTGCGAGCTGCCAGCTTGCTTTCCAGAAAGGTGGAGCAGATTTCCCCTCACACGCGGTGTACGAGAAGGATCATTTTACTCTGGTCTCAGCAGCACGGTTATTTTTTTTGACAAAGTCTTGGTCAGTGTGATAGGTAAACAGTTGTCTTGCTTCACATCTCAATTTGCATCTCATACTAGGGGAAAGTAAGCATTTTCCTTCATTGTTTTGTAAAATGCTGAAAAACAGAAGCAACAAATCATGCATCCATGATCTCACCATGGACTCTTGAAGAATTTTTTTTTTTAAAGTAAGTTAAGCAGTAAATGTCCAACCGGGTGTCACTGGCCCCGCTCAGAGGCACACACCGTTAGGTATGCTGCCTCCCCAGCCCTGCCTCCTGTTTGCAGCACAGACACTCCATGTAAACACACTTTGTGGTTTTAAAGCCAAAATGGAAAGATGAGGCACTTGTCTATGATCTGTCTTTCCTAAAAACATACTTTATTATTAAATATTTTGAACAAACTCTTCATGTTTTGGGCCTTTTCTCTTTCTTTTGTGAATTTGCATTTCATGTCCTTTGCCCACTTTTCTAGTGAATGTTAGTGTTTTTCCCTTGTGTTCTGTTAAGAACATGGGTGATGGTATTAACTCTACCAGATAGTAACAGCAGATCTTTTTCTTTGTTTGCCCTGTCCCTCTTTTTTTTTTATTTGCTTTGACTTGTATGCAGTGGCTTTAACAATACCTTTGTGCAGTCAGCCTGTGATTGCTCTTTGATTTCTTCCTTTGCTTTTATCAGTAAAGCTTCGTAAATCGTATTTCCCACCCTGTGGCCAGTTGAATTGTCCCTCCTGCAGGGAGATCAGAGAACTTAGTTCAGACAGTTCAACAGTGGTGGAGATAACAGCCCAGTCTTCTGTAAACTGCTTGCTGTGCGTCGGGTAATTTAATGCTCACAGCCGTCTTCTGAGGAAGAAACCGAGGCAGAGAGAGGCTGTCTCCTACCCGAGATTCCGCAGCACGTCAGCACCGAGGTTCAGACCAGGCGGTCTGGCCTCAGAGATGGTGTCTCAATTTCAAGTCTACGTGGACTCTTTCAGTTTCCTGGTTAGTCCCGCCTCCCCGCGTGGGACCCCTCCCTCCCAGGAAACAGAGAGTCCACTGTCCCTTCATCCTCCCTCCCGCGTCTTGACGAGTCTGTGGCTCTAGTTCTCCCAGTCTGCGTTCCCCTCTGTCCCACCACTGCTGGCCTGGTCTCCCCCAGCTGCCTCGGGCCGGGGTCCTCACTGCCTGAGCTCCCCTGTCCCTCTCCATCACGCACGCACACGCAGCCAGCAGAAGGGCCACTCACTCGTTTTCTGTTCCGCCGCGTGTCTCCTGCCTCTTCGCTCCCCTGTCCACACCCTCTTCCCGGCCCGTCTGATCTTTGCTGTGGACGCTGCTCCTCCAGCACACCCCGCATGCTCCTAAATTCACTCTCCGTATATTCATAGAAGGTGGTGATGCCCCTGACCGCCGAGTCCCACCCGCGTGTGGTTCTGCAGTACCTGCCCTCTCGTGGGCACGCGATGGCCGTTCTGACCGCATTAGGTGGAAAGGCAGCGTGGGGCAGAATGACTCCGGACTGGCTCACCCCCTGACTCCACGGAGAGGCTGGTCCTTTTTGTGTGTGCCCCTGGAGGGACGGAGAGGCTCAATACTTACTGTACTGAAAAGCCTTTTCATCCCTTAAAAGAAGACAGGTTAGGGCAGGAGAGGGGGAAACTGCCCTCCCCAAAGCTGGAAATCCACAAGCAGCACTACAGGAATAAATGTGGTTTGTATTTACCGTTTAACATTGGGTCATGTCTGACCATACGTCTTTAGTGTGAGTATTTAGCATCAAACTTAAACAATTAGCAGAAGGTCCTGGAGGATAGGGCTTTGTGTGTTTAACTTGTCATGCTTTTCAAAATACCTTCAGAATCAGAAAAAAAGTTAATATATACTGGGGGGGGGATAGAGGAGTCTAAAGAAGAAAGCAAAGAATACCATAATCGCACCACATGTAGAGTTACAGTTTCATTGTATGTCTAGTGTTGGCTGATTGTGGTGAGCATATTGCTTTAATAGATACACAAGGCCTTCAGTACCCAGATGTATCATGTGCAGACCTCTAAAACCTTTCATTTCTCTTCTTCCAAGTCTGTTTTAAAGGGGCAGCGTGATGGAAGGAAGAGAAAGAGTTAAGTGTTAGAAGGCGTAAGATGTGAACTACTTTAAAATGTTAAAGGTCAGCGGAACCCCCTCCCTTTGGGCCTGTTAGGAGACCATGCCTGACACTGAAAAGGGGAAAAAGCCCAAATTAAAAAAAAAAGGATGTCTATGTATATAATATATAGTATATTATCTATACTGTATTAGTATCTCACGCTCAATTGCTTTTCAGAACCACATTAAAAAAACATCAAGCATATTCTTGCCTTATTTACTTAAAAAGCTTAAACTTGTTTGGAGCATTCTCTGGAGTTTTGGCCATTCTCTTAAAGTTCATCTATAAACACAAGCATAAATACATAAATTATTCCTAAGTTGAGTTTTTACGTGATTTTTCTTCAGTAGTTAATTCATGCGAATTGCACATACCAAATAAACAGGTGAAGGATGGAGGATTTATTGCCACTGAGGCTAACAGCAAGCTGACCATAAATTGCTAACAGATGTTTTGCCTTTTTAGCCCCTGAGGAATTTTATAGGCAACGGTTTTTTTTTTTTTCTTTTTGCAGAGGTTGAAGGAGGTAGAGAAAAAAAGGAAATGAAAACAAACTGGAGACTGAGAAATGTATGTCTCAGTTTTCACCAGTGCTGGAATGTTCTGAATCCAGACTGTGTTGGTCTTCAAAAGTTATAAAGAAGAAAAAAAATCATGCAGAAGTTTTTTTTATAATGTGTATTTAGTAAGTTTAAGCCTTTACTAAAAGTTGTCTTTTTTTTTTTTTCTTTTTAGCAAGAAGATCCTTCTAGGAAGAAGAAGCTTCAGGAGAAGAAAGAAGGAAGTTTACAAAATTTAAATTGGAATAAGAATCGAACGTGTAGAAAAAACAAGAAAAGGAGTGCTGCCCAGGTCTTGAGGTGTGTCATGTTTGCAGTCCCTTTAAAATCTTCATCCATTACTTAACTCTGCAATTTTCCATTTAGCTCTTTATCTTTCAATCTTATTTTTGTGAAGTTGGGTACAGGTAATAGGAGAGTGTCGGTTTTGGATTTTGAGATAAAAATATGTTATGAAAATGAATATCCTTAAAATCAACATATCTTCTGGTTACATTTTTATTTATTTTGTTGAAAACCCCTTAACATGAACCTATTTTTAAAATTTTACTTAATGAAGTGCTAAAAGCTGTGGGTGCTTTTAGGGGAAAAGCATAGACACCCCTCCACACCAGGACCTTCCTTCTGCCTGTGACACGCAGGGGCGCTGGTGGGGCGGGTCACAGAGAGACGCCCTAGGCGCAGGCAGCCCCGAGTCTGCACTTGATCCTGACCCCGCTGGGCTGCCTGGGGTACTGATAATGAAGGAGAATCCTCCTCATGCACAGAACCTTCAGGTCCTTCAGTCCTGCAGAAGGTGGGTTCCCAGGGCGGTGGGCAGTGAGGTGCGGACACCCCGTGGTTTGCTGGAAGGGGCAGAGCCGGCCGTGAGCCCAGCCAGTTAGGCCCTCTCCTGGGGAACCCTTGCTTCCTTGAGACACTTAATCTCCCTGAGCTTTCAGTATCTTATCTGTGGTTATCCCATATTTCTGGGTTTCCAGAAATCTCTCTTTCCATTGAATTTTCGGTCAGTTCTGCAGCTTGAGGAATTTTTCCAGCAGGTCAGGAGTGTGTGCTTTCTGACTCCAGATCCCCACCTGGTGGTGTTGTCTCAGAGTTTTGACTCCTTAGGTTAGGTTTCCAACGCCCTGCACACAGGCACGGGGAGCGCCTCCAGCAGCGGTGCCCTCCCTGGGCCTGGTTTTATGAAGGAGACTCAGGCCCAGCTCCCTGACCCGCCCTGAGTGGGCGGCGAGGCGTGTTTCCTCCCTTGACACCGCTCCGCGCCCACCACTCTGGCTTTTCTTTTGAGTTCCAGCAACTGGGGATTTCTCTTTCCTATGAACCCAGCTCAGCACTTAACTGTGTTTCTGTCAGCTTGTCCTCTAGCAGGTCCAAACTGGTGTGGGGAGAGGGGTGCAGCTCGCTGCACTTCCTCTGGTTGGAAGGGAGCTCTGGCAGAGCCTCCGCCTGGTGGCAGGAGCCCCTGGTGGGGGCACATAAGATGCTCCTTACAGTGTCTGTCTCCAGGTCCCCACAGAAGTTGTGATCGGGAGCTCAGACCTTGGGATTCAGCCTTGAAATGCGCCCCCTGGCACGTCCTGCTCTGGGGAGGTGACCCCAGGGGGGTCAGCAAAATGCAAATAGAGAAAAAAGAAAGATACCCACGGTCAGATGATTATTAACCCTGAATACTGATCACTGACTGGTAGTTATTCTCATTTAGGCTGAATTATTTGAAAGCTGCAATGTGGTCTCCGGTAGAAAGGAAAAATCACCCCTTGTATTCCTTTACATGTATTTTCGTAAAAATTTGAAGGACTTAAGTGGAATCGAGAGAGAGAAAACTAGAGTGGAATTTCGCCAGTGAAATGTTCTGATGTGTTTTTAAAAGCAGTTTTCTGACATGCTAAAGAAACAAATTAAGTAGTTAAAGAGTAATTCCCAGGTAGCTTGTAGCTCATCAAAATGTTTTGAGAACACGATGCTTAAGGAGGTGACTGTCACTGGCTTGTCTGTTTCCTTGGCTTGTGCTTCTGTCTGTATGCCATTTAGCCCGAGCGGTCAGAAACGAGTGAGACCGTGGCTCCAACTCACACATCTAGTCTTGCCTGCCACCCTCCAAACCTGCCGTGAGTTGCTGAAGTTGGACCGTGTGCAGTAATCATCTAAGCATTCCTGTAGCATTCTCTACGTGTTTCTGTGTCTCCTATAACTGCGTTATAGGTCTTTCCTCAAGTTCACGGTCTAGCCAGAGAGAGATTAGTATTGGACTATGAACTCCTGGGAGAGGAACTTCATTCTTTGCAGACACTGCACTGCTTTTCCTAACAATATGTGGCTCATGGTCATCACTCAGCAAATGTTTGCTTAAGTGGATGAATGAGGAAAGATTTAAGTTAACACTCAGGACCTTCCCCTGGACCCCACAGGCATGTTCATCTGCTGAGAATCGTATTTTACACTAGAACCAAGGAAGACATGCCAAGCGTTGTGGGCTCTGTCTCTGCACCTGCCACCTGCCAGTGGACCTTGGGTGACTCCCTTAATCTGCGGAGTTTTATTCCTCTTGCTGAAAAATATGAAGAGATTAAATGAGCACCAACTTAATTCTGATTCTGAAATGGTAAACTCTTGTCCTTAGTAATAACATCTTCCCCTTCCTCATCATCTTCTCCCCGCAGACCCGAAGAGAAGGGGTCTCCAGTTGTCCCAGATTCGTATTCTCCCCTCGGATAAGTCTTGAGGAAATCAAGTAGGTATGTTTGCAGGATAACACGTGATGTGATTTTTTTTTTTTTTTGGTGGCTCTTCCAGGCCTTCTGAACAGAGTGAATTAAAGCTTGCGTGCAGTGAATTTGAAAGGTCAGAGCTGAGTGGCGACCTGGATGTAAGAAGCTGGTGCATCCAGGAAAACCCCGGGGAAACGTGTAAAACAGATGCTGGCCTGGGCTGCAGCTTACCTGCCGCGCAGGGAGAGGCAGGTATGGAGCCTTGCTGAGCTGCCCACGTGCTGCTGTCGGGGTTGCTGCTTCTCCGGGGGAGTGTCCAGTGCGTCTTGATGAGATTGTCACCTCCCAGGCAGCGTAGCTCACTGGAGCCCGAGTAGGATGCTGTCAGGAGGAGACCAGGCGCTGGGATTCTTCTGAGATTCTTTCCCTAGTGTTGTTGCCCCTTCCGACCTCCCCCTCCTCTGACACGTAGCCATTCTCATCTCAGTGCGTGCAGATTGCTGAAGGGACGGTGGGTGCTTGCTCTGGACTGACTTCCTCGGGGAAGGAGGGGAGTGGGGAAAAGGCAGGTGAGAACAGCGGCTGTTCTCATGCACACGCACTAGGCAGTTCCTGCAGAGCCAGGCTGCTGCCCTGTGAGGGCTGATGGGTTGGGTCCCGGGGTGGGCGGTAGAGGGCACCCAGCGCTGGGTGCAGGGTAGGGCAGTGCACATTGGGTGCCGGGCGGGGGAGTTGGGGTGCTCCCGCCGACACCCACGTTCCCAGACATGTGCCCACGTCAGTGCACCCGAGACAGTATGCAGAGGTAGCGGGCTTCTCGTTCAGCCCCTTGACACGTGTGTGTTGCCTCTGGATCTTACTAGAGGTTCTTCCCACCCACTCTGGAACTCTTGGTGGACATTTTAATAAAGAAATTACCTATAAATCTCCAGTCCAGTAGAATAGCTTTGATTTTCTTGAGAGAAATGCTTGTTATTTCCAGAACCATTTTGGGGTCAAGATTATTATTGGAATTGATGGTCTGAGCCCCAGACAGCATTAATTGTCCGTCTGACAGCAGAGCACGTAGCACAGCACAGCTCACCCCAGCGGTTTCTTAACGTCCCATCATTAGTTTCAGTTAATTTTTTTTTTAATTGAAGTGTAGTCAGTTTACAGCGTTGTGTCAATTTCTGGTGTACAGCATCATGTTTCAGTCATACATATACATACATATATTCGTTTTCCTATTCTTTTTCATTATAGGTTACTACAAAATGTTGAATGTAGTTCCCTGTGCTATACACTATAAACTTGCTGTTTATCTACTTTATGTGTAGAAGTTAGTATCTGCACATCTCAAACTCCCAGTTTATCCCTTCCCATCCCCTTCCCACCCTGGTAACCACCAGTTTGTTTTCTGTGTCTGAGTCTGTTTCTGTTTGGTAAATAAGTTAACTTTTCTTCTCTCTGGATGAGCAGAGGTAGCGAATCTGAAGTTGAACCTTGCCGTCTTCATAGTTTGGCCTCCCTCCTTTGATGAGAGTTGGCCTCGCGCTGAACGTTGTGTAGGTGAACGTGGCCTCTCTTCCTCCCTGCAGAGGGTTACTACCAGGATTCCGGGAAGAAGTGCGGGGAGAAGTCCTGCTCAGACTCCAGCTCGGACTGCGGCAGCTCCTCGGGGAGCGTGCGTGCCAGCCGGGGCAGCTGGGGCAGCTGGAGCAGCACCAGCAGCTCCGACGGGGACAAGAAGCTCACGGCGGGCCCCCAGCACTTCCAGCCGGCCGGTGAGTCCGGGGCTGAGTCGTGGCCCCGGGACGGGGGCCAGGGCTGCCTCCCCGGCCCAGAGCACAGATGCCTGTGCCTTTGAGTGTTTGCTGTGCTTCGAATTTTATCCACTTTCTTTTCTTCCTTCTTTCCTCCATCTGTTATTATTAGTATTATTATTATTTAAGTTCTTCCATCTTTGGTAAAAAGT